GCTGCCCATCCTTACTGTGCGGGTTGACTGTTAACGTTGTTATTTGCTTGCTTTTGTTTTGTTTTGTTTCTCGTTTGGCCCTACCTCTTTCCCTGTACCCCCCTGGCGAAAGGAAAAACAAAACACAGCCGAAGTCCAGCAAAACAACGCCTAGATCCAGCCCTGGGGGAAGGAGCCGGGCTCCCCACACCTCCTCCCCTTCTCGACTACACGCAGGAGTGACCCTGGGCTTTTCGTGGGCCCTGGAAACGACAGGGCCGCTTTTGTTACCGGTGCCGTTCTGCCGTCGTCTTGCCGGTTCCGACGCCGTTTTTGTTACCAGTTCCGTCGCCGTTGTTTCACAAGTTCGGGTTCCAATCCTGGAGCCGTATGTTTGCCGCTTCCAGTCGTCGTCTTTGTTGCAGTTTCCATGTTCAAGACACTTGTTCGCATACGGTGAACGAGCGGCTCTGCCGTTTCCGGAGCCCACTAAGGTCCTGGGTAAGAGTGACCTTTGGGAGGGCCGCGGGGGGGCCAAACAGAAGCGCGCAATCCGCTGCTACCTCTTCGCTTTCAACCATCTGGGGGCCCACTCCAGCGAAAGGTCACTCTTACGTGTTGTCGACCTTCGTCGTCCTCCTCCCCACTCCGTGCCCGTTCCCTTTCCCGCCCATCTTCGGCCCGGGCTCCCTCCTCCTCTCCCCAACTCTCCGACTCATCATATCAACATGATCATGATCATGAGCACGACCATCTTCTTTATCACCATCATTACCATCATCATCACCATCACCATCACCATCACCATCAGCAACAAGCTGTCATCAACACCACCATCGCCGTCATCGAAAATACAGTCGCCAGCATTGTCATCAGTCGTAGCATCACTCTCAACTACAGCCCTCTCTTCATTCAGTGTCAGTACCATCACTACCACCATCATCACCATCACCGTCACCATTGCAATCAACATCACCAATCACCATAACCATAAGCAAGACCATCACCATCACCAATACCCTCATCGTCACCGTCGCCATCACCGTCACGACCACCAAGGTCATTGTCCTGGTCATGCTCTTCAAAACCATCATCAACATCATCATCATCATCATCAGCAGCATCAATGACACCACCATCATCATTAGTAGCATCATCATCAGCAACATCAAAATTATCATCATCGTCAGCAGCAGCATCAACATTGCAATCATCATGATTTGGGTAACCCACAGGGGGATCCAGCTGAAAGGGGGTGGTTCAATAGATTTGGGGCAATTGTATTGCAAATGTATCGCGCCGGAGAGTTGTTTTGCATTGGATTGCAAGTAATGTATTGCACGCGAGAATAAAGGCATACATTTGCGCCACGAAATGTATTGCACGCCCCAAATGTATTGCAACCCCACAATTATATTGCACAAAATCTATTGCATCACCTCCTTATCGCTGGACCCCGTTCCGCTTGTTGTGGTTTTATCGGGTCAACCCGGCATGAGAGCATCGTACACCATCACCATCACCATCACCATCATCATCATCTCATTTATCGATCATCATCAATCATCTTAATCATCACATCATCATCATCATCACCATCACCATCACCATCACCATCACCATTACCATCACCATCACATCATCATCATCATCATCATCATCATCTCATCATCATCAATCATCAGCATCATCATCACCAAATACGCATCGTCGTCGAGTTCTTGCGCGCTCCTGCTCACCTGGCTCCTGCTCCTCCTCCTCCGCCTCATCCGGCCGCCCCAGACTCTGGGCACCGAGCCCCCCCGTCGTGGGCGCTGGGCCTATGGGCTTCCCCCGGCTTCGTCCCGGGGCTCTCTGGGGGTGCACCCGCGTCGTGCCGCAAGGGATCCGTCGCCCAGCGGACCTGGCCCCGTCGGCATCATCTGCAAGGTCGTCGTCGTCGTCGTCGTCACGACCGGCCTCGGCATGGGCGCGAGAGGGTCCGGCCCAGGCTGCGCTCGCGAGGAGAGACGGCGCGGCACGGGGTCAGGGGTGCAGGCCTCGCAGTTGCGCAGCAGTTTTTTTTTTTCGCTGTGGCATCGTCGACGTTGTCGCCGCCACCCTCGACTCGGTCATGATACCCCCTCCACCAGCACCACCGCCGACATTCGATCGCCATCGTCAGACTCGAAGACCCCGCGGGGGTTCCGCGGTGTGCGAGATTACTTGGCTGCCCCATCCTTCAAGCCCCCTGGCCCTGACGGCCCCCGAGACGCCACCGAAAGAGCCCTCCAGGCACGCAAGATGACCAACCACGCCATGCAGCCAACCCCAAGACAGCGCAAGCAGGCTCGCAGCAGCAGCCAGGACAGGCCGAGACTGTCCAACCAGCACCAGTCTCGGGGGTCGGCGAGTGTGTCGCGTGAGCGAACCTAGGGGGCAAGCAAACCTACCTCGCTTTTGACCACCCTCGCTTCCAAGAGATACCAAGCGATGCCAAACTACGGCCTGTACTGGTCAGGCCGCTTGACGAGGAGGCGCATGGCATGACTTGGTTTTGCCTGGAAGCGAAAGCGGGGTAGGTAATTCACGCTCTGCTCTGAGAACCCGAGGACAGCTCGCCGCGTCGCCAACCGAAAAACGAGAAGCATACATCGGGTTGCACACTCGGCGGCCTCGAGCAGGACGGCCTGCGGCTGTCGCCCTCGGCGGCCGGCGCTGACCTTGCGCCGTAAGCTGCACTCTCGGCGGCCGAACCTAGAACGGCATCCTGTGGGTCTCGCGATAGATTGCGCACTCGGCAACCTATGGTAAAACGGCCTGCGTGTGACTGCGCCAAAAAGGTTTCCCACTCAGCGATGCGGCATAGGCTATCCCAAGCAAGTGTCACAATAGGTGGGGGATTTTTTGACGGCCCGTCTGGGCCCCGCCCCCCCGAGAGCGGTGAAACCACACCAAGATCCAGACCCCCCCAGAAAAATCGTTTGACAGTTCGGTCTAGACCCACCCCCAAAGAGAAGCGTGTGGGCAGAACTTGTACGACCCCACGAAAAGGCGACGACGACGAACTCGACGCCTTTGACGACGACGTCGACAACGACTACGACTAGTTGCAACGAAAACGACAACGACGACGATGCCAACGACGGCGACAATAAAACGACGACGCCGACGACACCGACGACGACGACGACGACGACGATAACACCGACGACGACGATAACACCGACGACGACGACGACACTGACGACGACACCGCTGACAACGACGGCGAGGACGGCGACGACTGCGACGACGACGACGAGGACGACGACGATGATGAGGATGACGACAACATGACGGGTCGCAACAGCGCAGTCCACGTCATAGTATCACCGTGAGTTTCAACATTACTATCATTACTATGTTGTTCGCTCGGCTTATCATCACGCACTGCATTCGCATCACAAAGTTGTCATGAGGGAGTCGAGAGGCTTGACGTTACCCATTCCCCCCCCTGGCGAACTCCCAGAGACAATCCGTTGGCCTTTTCTGCGCCCACCAACCCTGCGGCCGGTTTGCCTCGCGGGGAAACATTCCATCATATTTTTCAACACCCATCCTCCCTCCGCGGGCCAGAGCATTGCGGGGTGCGCTGTGGCACTGGTCGTCGGCATTGTCGTCGACTGCCGCCCTCCCTCCGCGGGCCCACAAGAATGCGGAATGCGATTTGCGCTCAGCGTCATATGTCCGCACCCACCCACTCGTCAACCAGCCCCCATGCGGCATCCGAAGTTTCGTCGGTGGGTCGTCGTCGTCGCCGCCATCGACGTCGTCGTCGTCGCCAGGCCTTGCGCGCCCCCCAATGGGGCGTCCGCAATTCGTCGTCGTCGTCGTTCGTTCGTCGGCGTTCGTCGTCGTCGTCGTCGCTGGGCCTTTTGTTGCACCCCTTTCGTCATCGTCGTCGTTGAGCCAAAGGGAACAGGGCATCGCCTTACCAACCACTGTACTAAGAACTCTACCACACGCACCTCTCCAGGGAGGCCTCGCCAGAGCGAGCAGGGCATCGTTCTACCATACAACTTCCCGCAAGGTTTCGGTGGTGACCCCTCCTAAATTGTCACCATATTGCTATTGCTCTATTGCTGTTTCGTTGTTATTATCCGTCAAACTCCGGCAAGAATTTCATGATCACCAACATGGACATTATCATAATGAGCATCACGGTAGTGATCCACGACCGTCATAGCATGTACAATCTTGCGATCTGCCATTTTGCGTTCCATCGTCCATACCATCATTGGTAAAATCGGCATGTCATCACCATCGTCACGGTATTACCTAGATGACTACCGTGCTCATCATACGTAAGCATTTCGTCGCCGTCGGTGTCGTTGTCGTCGGTGTCCACGTCTTCATCATGTTCAGCTTTGTCGTCGGGATTGTTGTCGTCATTTTGGTCGCAGTCGTTTGCGTCGTCGTCGTCGGCGTCGTTGTCGTCGTCAGTGCCGTCTTCATTGTCGGTGTCGTCGTCGCCGTGGGTGCCGTCGTCGTTGTCGATGTCGTCGTCGTCGTCGGGTTCGTCGTGGTTTTCGTCGTCGTCTGTCGTTGTCAGTGCTGTCGTGGTCGTGCTCTTCGTCGTCGTCGGTGTCGTCGTCTTCGTCGAAGTCGAAGTAGTTATCTTCGTCGTCGTCCTCTTCGTCAACGTGGGCGTCGTTGTCGTCGGCGTTGGCGTCGGCGACGTCGTCGCGGAGTTCGTCCTCTTCGCGGGCGTCGTGGTCGCCAGCGTCGTCGTCGCCAGAAATCCGGCGATTGCGACGGGGCTGGACCGCCCCCGAACCCTCATCAAATGTCGAACAATTATATGCACACCCGAACGTGTTACACGACAGCTCGAAATTGACCCCCCCAGAGAGACAACAAAAAATCGAAACTCCCCCGCAATCTTGTTTGACGAGGCCTGTAAGACCCCCCGAAACCAGAACCCCCTATTGTTATAGGATCTGGAATTCACGGCCTGATGTTACGCACTCGGCGGTCGAAACTAAAACGGCCTCCGCACGGGGGTGACCAGTCAGTCAGTGAGTCCAGGGCACCTGATGACGAAACATCTAGCTACGCCAAAATGGTCCTGGCGAAGGACCCAATCATGTGCAGCTGTGTAACGCGGTTGTGGGTATCGACCTCGATGAACCTCTCTCTGGGGCCATGTCGCGTGTGACGGGTGTGCCAAAATTGGTTCGGGTACACCATGCGGACGCTGCAACCGGAGCCGTCGGTGCAGCCCCATGTGAGGCCACGAAACGTGTGAGGCGTGCGCCGAAAGGCAGGGTGGAACCACATGCGGGCGCTGCCGCTAGGGCCTTTGGGGGCCACGAAACGTGAAGGGGTGCGCCGAAATGAAGGGTGGAACTGCACGTGGAACCTGCCACTGGGGCCTTAGGTGGAACACTCTAAGAGGCCACGAAACGTGTGAGGAGTGCGCCGAAATAGAGGTGGAACTGCATGCGGACCCTGCCAAGGGGGCCTTCGGTGGAGCACCCTCTAGGGCCACGAAACGTGTGAGGGGTGGTGGAACTGCATGCGGACCCTGCCACTGGGGCCTTGGGCGGAACACCCTATGGGGGCACGAAACGTGCGAGGGGTGCGCCAACATGAATGTGGAACTGCATGACCCTACCACTGGGGCCTTCGGCGGAGCACCTTTTGGGGCCACGAAACGTGTGAGGGGTGCGCCGAAATGGAGGTGGAACTGTATGCGGACCATGCCACTGGGGCCTTCGGCGGAGCACCCTATGGGGCCACGAAACGTGTGAGGGGTGCGCCGACATTAATGTGAGACTGAATGCGGACCCTACCACTGGGGCCTTCGGCGGAGCACCCTTTGGGGCCACGAAACGTGTGAGGGGTGCGCCGAAATGGAGGTGGAACTGTATGCGGACCCTACCACTGGGGCCTTCGGCGGAGCACCCTTTGGGGCCACGAAACGTGTGAGGGGTGCGCCGAAATGGGGGGGTGGAACTGCATGCGGACCCTGCAACGGGGGCCTTCGGTGGAGCACCCTATGGAGCCACGAAGCGTGCGAGGGGTGCGCCAACATTAATGTGGAACTGCATGCGGACCCTACCACTGGGGCCTTCGGCGGAGCACCCTTTGGGGCCACGAAACGTGTGAGGGGTGCGCCAACATTAATGTGGAACTGCATGCGGACCCTACCACTGCGGCCTTCGGCGGAGCACCCTTTGGGGCCACGAAACGTGTGAGGGGTGCGCCGAAATGGAGGTGGAACTGTATGCGGACCATGCCACTGGGGCCTTCGGCGAACACCCCGTGTGGCCACGGAACGTGTGAGGGGTGCGCCGAGATTGGCGTGCGAGAGCGCATTGGCAGGAAGGGGAGGAGGGGGAGGAGCGCGGCAAGTGAGATGAGGTGAGACGCGGGGCGCTGTCTCTTCAAAACGAGGACCCAAGACCACAAGATGGTTGGGAAAAACCATCATCGTCCTGACCATCGCCGCCGTCTCCGTCGTCGAAACCGTTGACGTCGCCATCGCCAGTCAACATCATCCTCGTTTGCGGCGAGACTCGCTGGGACGCGCTGGCGGAGCCTTGGTCTGCATCTTCTTCTTTTCCTGCCCCCATTCCGCGCATCCGAAAGTTTACCTCCCTTGAAGCGCACGATATGTGTCTCTGCATCCTGACCCCATCATCCGAACAGAGAGACAAAGAGAGACAGCAAACCCGAAAAACGGAGATGCGGAAAAAGAGCGAGGGAGAGAGAGAGAGAGAGAGAGAGACAAAGAGGGAGAAACAAGCGGCAGTACAGAAAGAGCAACAGAGAAGGAGAGAGAGACGGAGACATTGGCAGACCTGGGCGAGAAAACGTTGCCATCTTCGGCCGCCGAGCACTCCTCAATCTGCGTCGCCTCACGGCTTGGCTCGGATCTCGCCTGGAGAAGACAGGAGGACGCATCTGGTCTCTCCATTCCGTGGCGATCCCTTTTCATAGTTTGAGCTATCACGTGTCCGTCCCAACTGCAATTATATATATACACATATATATATATATGTATATATATATGCAATTATCTCGATATTCCGCACTGTTGCAATTCCCAAGCGCAAAACAACACATCGCCACACCTTGCTTCCTGCTGGCCCGGGTCCGCCCCAGACGAAGCCCAAAAGAGGGCCCGGGACGGCCCCAAAAAATGCCCCAGCACGCTAACATCATTGACGTTTCTTCGGCGTCCTTCGAGGCGGCCCAAGAGGCCCAACACATCGCCCCAATAGAACCCCCGAATGGCCCGAGGACGGCCCAAGATGATCCGCAACAGGGCCGCCGGAAGAGCCCCGCAGCCCAAGAGAGTCCCACTACAACCACCTACGAAGGCCCCCGGACTGCCCGCCTCATCGCCATCCTCCCCCCGGCAATGTCCCGCCCTCCTCTTCCCTTCACCCTGCCCCCGTCCTCTCCCCTCCACGCCCAAGAGGGAAACCACACAAGGTACCGATGCCGTCACGCCTCAGACCTCTCCCGGTGCGCATTCCGACAAGGATTTCGGAGCGAAACCAGCCGAGGGCCGTGGCGACGAGGGGAAGGTAGCGGTATCGGGCATCAGTGGATCAAATAGGGGATCGACTACATAATGAATTACGGAGCATTGTACGCATTCTCCGCCGACTCGCCGGAAACAGCAACTTTGGGGCGAATCAGCTCTGCAGTCGACCCCCCCATACTCGAAATGTTCCGCCTCAGACCCCCTGCCCTTCATCCCCGCACACCCCCCACATGCTCCCCGCTCCTCGTCCTCCTCCTCCTCCTCCTCCTCCTCCTCCTCCTCATCATCATCATCATCATCATCATCATCATCATCCACCTCCTCCTCGCCCTCCTCCTCCTCCTCGTCCTCCTCGTCCGCCTCCTCCTGCTCCCCATTCTCCCCCTCCTCGTGCTCCTCCTCCTCGTCCTCCGCCTCCTCCTCCTCGTCCTCCTCCTCCGCCTCCTCCTCCTCGTTATCCTCCTGCTCTTCCCTCTCTCCTCCTCCTCCTCCTCCTCCTCCTCCTCCTCCTCCTCCTCCTCCTCGTCCTCCTCCTGCGCCCCATGCTCCTCGTCCTTCTTGTCCTCCTCGTCCTCCTCCCGCTGGCGGGGCGATGGCGCACCCCACCGCTCTGGCGGCGGCCCGCCCGACGCGCCGCCCCCAGTCCCGCAGGCCCCTCCCTGGAGTAGTGCTCGGGGTCCTGCGGCCCGAACTCGACCTGCCAGGCAAGAGGGCCGAGGAGGCATCCACATCGCAGGATGGCCGGGCAGGACCAACAGATCCGACGCTCCAGCGAACATTGGAGCGGCAAATTTGAAGCCGCTTTGGGCCTCTGGGGGCCCTCGCCGGGCATCGGGACCGTCGAGAAACGACTCGGGACGGGAAATCGGCCCTGGGAAAGTGGTCCAGACCTCAAGGCCCACGCATCGAAACGATTAGAACGGCCAGAAGCATGCGGAGGGCGGGGATGAAAAGAGATGCGACGGAGGGGGTCCTACGATCGTGGAAGGTGCAAGTAAAAGTTCAAGACAAGGGAAGAGGAGGAGGAGGAAGAGGAGGAGGAAGGTGGAGGAAGGTAAACCTGGGAGGTGAGGGATTCTGGACTCCGGACCAAGTAAACGAAACACCCACGCTCCCGTCCGTTGCCAGGCATTGTCACACATCTCGCGCAACACACATACACAATCAAGGCACGTTTGCTGTGCATGATCCTGCGCTGCTGCTATCGAGCCCGATACGCTGCATAGGCTGAGGGCCCAGGCGTGCACGTCAGGCCCCACATTTCGAGGGCCCCGATCGTGAATCCAGGAGCCGGGATACAAACAACCAGGAATTGACGCCTCCAGCTGCAACGCCATTTGGCCAAAACTCGCCCTGGAGAAGCACCCAAGTGACCCAACGGCAACATCGAGCAAGTCTTCTCTATCATGCACGAGACATGAATCCTCGCAACGCTTCCAGGCCCGAGCGGCAAAAAGGTTCGCCTGCCGAGTAACGCCTTGGGCATTTGGCACGGCCAATCGTCAAAAAAGACTCGACGGGCGGCTGGCCGAACTCCGCTGGAAACTCCAGTGCATGGTCGAACGGGTGTCAGATCCAAGACTGCGGCCAATTCGCGCGAATAAATCTGCACCCGTTCATAATTAAAACGGATTTCCACTGCTTAAGCACCTCATTGTTAGACGGCGTCTTGACGCGACTGCCAGACGACCCCGGAAATTGTCCCATCAAGCACGTGCGCGTATTTCACCAGAGCGGGGCTCATCGTTTGCGCCACATTCCAACATAATATGAGTTTCCAAATTACAAAGCGCAGCAGTCACGCAGCGAGCCAGAAACGCGCAACGCAGCCAACTCCAACGCAGACCTGGCGGTGTCCGGGAACAGCATGCCTGATAAAAAGCCCGCTGGGTAGTCTCTAAACGCTTCGCGGCCCCTCCGACGCCGAGCCTCCGAAGAGAATATGCCCCATCCCCAAGACTTCCCTTAACCTCGTAGACGCACCCAGAATCGGAAACCCAATTTTTCTCTGCAAGTCCCCTCCCGTTTCAGAAACGATTCTGGCCAACGAAGAAACAACTCAGTTTGCTCGCGTTCTGTAGGTATCCTCGTTCGGCTACGCATCGGCCGAGCAGTTCGCTAGAACGCATTGGTTTCGCGGGCGGCCCGTCGAATCCAGCCCCAAAACCCCGAATCACATCATAAAAACCTGCCCGCGTAACCGAAGGACTGTCTTCGGCAGCAAAGGGTGGGTGGTGACCGGCGATCTGGCCATCGGGTCGATCTGGCCATCGGGTCGAAATTCGCCTGATCGTTTTGCCAAGCACCAATCAATGGCTGGGCGGAACGACCTACAGAACCGGCGCACCGCGTCCGGATCTCCCACCACCGCCCCCGCCCAAATTCTGATCGTGGCGCTCCCACAGGCCTGTCACTGGTAATATGACGGTCACTTCCTGCGAGCGCTGCATGCCGTAAACTGTCTCGCAGGGATTAAAGCTGATGATTCGCCGCTTCCAACGAAGCCCAGAAGGATGAGGCGCATGCATTGGCCATGCCCTCGCCCACCTACGGGCGTGGAAGCCCGCAAGCACGCGCGAGAAACATGCTGAACTGCTGCGCCAGCCTCGCACACTCTTTCCGCCTTCCTTCTGACGAAACTGCGCTTGCAGTTCCCCAGGTCAGTCGAACAGCCGCGCCCGAACGCGGAGGCGGAAAACAACTTCTGCCAACCACAGAATGTAAACGAGCAACTTGCTGGCTGGCTGCGCCCTCCACTTGTTTTTTGGTTTGGTAGCGGGCAGACCCTTAACTCCCATGCCATTCCAGTGGCGCCCTTCCCGACACCGCTATCTTACTGAACCCCCATCACCAAAAATCTGAAAATCCTGAGGACAATGCCCACCGTTCTCCATCTGTCAACCCAATCCGGCAGCAGCTGGGGAAACCGATCACGAGGTAGGCATGACAGCAGCCCCGCTTCCAAAGCTGCACCTGTAGCAGAACAGCCTCTGCGTTTGGGGGCCCTTTTGGGGCGCGCGACCGCCCCGTCGATCATCGCCCCCGCCTCCTCCAGATAGCCGGCGCACGAACGGTCGCGAGCGAAACGGCCCTCCAGCCTCTCAGCCGTGTGCTCCGCTAGCGTGGTTCTCATGGCCTCCATCCGGCCTTCTCCTCCAAGTCTGCCCCATGCCTCCACCTGATCCCCTCCGCAAACGCAGACCCAGGGTAAAGACTGGTATTGCTCTTTCGGCCTCCCCGCGCACTGCCAGCCGCCAGCCTGGGCCAAGTCTTCACTCCCGAAAATGTACTCCGCGCATATTCGCGAAGTTCCAAATACAACCCGCGCTTAACCTCATTCACGGCCTCGCGAATGTAGCGAACGAGTTGAATGATTTCTCTGAGCTGCCTTTTCACCGCACTTTTTCCTCATCAGAGACATCTGGTAGGCCAAATCTAAAGCGTCTGCGACGTGCCAGCAGATCGCCCGTCGGAGCCAATGAATCGCCTTGCGCCGCGAATTGCCAAACATTGGCGCCGAACCGGTTCGCGCCGTGTCGTCTGAGACAAACATCGCGTCTTCTGGGAAAGCAGCCCCGTCATCTCCTCCATCCACTTCTGGCGCTGCCCGCCCATGGTTTCCTGTAAGTATGTCTCTGTAGACGGCCGTTATTTGGCGCGTCCTTTCCCAAGCGCACTCCACTCACAAAGGCGTTTTCTTCTGACATTCGATCGAAGAAAGCAGATGCCAAACAACATGCACAAATAGACGGTCGCGGGAAGGCTTTGTACTAACGGATTGAAGTTGCCTGCCAAACTGGCGCAGACCTCCAGACGCGCCCACCCTCGTCGCCATCGAAGCACTGGCGAAGAACATGCCGATTATCTTGCATTCACCCTTCGGGCAGTACCACACATGAACACGCGGTTCATCAGCATCAGCGACGACGGAATTCGATTCCCCGATTAGCGCACGATGAGAGTGCACAACCCCTTCCCCCCACACTTATCTCACCGCGACCTCGATCATGATCAGACATGCGCCAGCGAACTCATGTGCACCGCGATCTATTTCAATCCTCATCCCATCATTTGAACCAACCACCTGGATAGGAATAAGTCAACCGCGTATTCTCTAACCAAAAATCTCAGCCAGCCGATCATCTTTTTGACCTCATGCTAAACGTGGAACGGGCCTTTCGGATGGAACAAGCAAGCAAGAAGTCACGCGCCCGGAGGTGCGTGGGACACTGGACTGGAAAAATGCTGCTGACTAAAAACTAAAATTCGGACCGCGCGGCGCTACAGGGTCGGATTTGCTGAGCGCGCGGCTTGCCGCCAGGACACTTCATTAGCCAAGAGCGGGTTTACCTCTGACATGCCGCCTGCCGCCGCGCAAGCGACTCATAGCGCGCAGGTTGTCCAGTCTGCGCTTGGCGGGCCTACCTTTTCCCACGCATCGGTCTGCCGCCGGCCTGGAATTTCCAGGACAGAAGGTGGCGTTCCTGAGGGGCCCCCCTTCTGGCGCCCGGCGATTTTGCCAAGCTGGAGACGCGGCTGTCGCGCCACTGTGCCCGTCAGAGGGTGTTGTCCCGTTTTGTCTATGACTATCGCGTTGCTCACCCTGGAGACGCGCGCTGGTTCGGTTCCCGATATTACGCGAAGATACCGGCAATAGAAGCCGCCCAGCCGCCTTCTCTCCGCAGCATTGAGCCACAAAGTCAATAAACAATACGTGAGCTCGGTATGAACGACGGCGCTGTAGACCTCAATGTGTCTTCGCCTGCTCAAGCCTGAATGTAACCACATCTTGGCATCATGCCAAAATCGGCGCGCGCCGCGCCCGGGCGGCAACTGAGCTCCTTGCCCGCGGCGCCTGTTCCAGAAATCAAAGCACCAAAATAAATCGCGCATTCTTGCGCCCGCATGATCTGCCCATTCGAATCCTGAATACTGCTTCTGCGTCTGAATTGAAGCAGTTGGAACATGTCTCGGCGCAGCTCCATGCCATAGGATGTCCCTGACATCTGAATGGCACCTGATATGTCTTTCACTGCCCACGTCGTCCTTCCCAAAATCGGCGCGTCGCCCGCGCACAGCAAGACGGAAAGGGACCCATTGTCTCAGGGTGCTTTGTGTTCTGCTGCAAGTTGGGAGACAGCGCCTGCGACGATCACTGCCATGGTCTTCAAGAACAAGAAGTGTGATAGAGGGCGTCCTTGCGACATTCGGAGGACTGCGGCCTCGAGGGAGAAGTCGCCCCGCAGCTCCGCACCTCGAAGGTTCTTCAGACCGCACTTATTTATGACCTCCAATATGTGATCGGGCAAGCCGAAACGTCGTAGACCGCGCAGCATGGCCGAAGGGTCGATGGAGCCGAAAGGTTTTAGCCAATCCAAGGCCAATACATACATATTACCCGGTGATGCATCAAGCTCCAAATCTAGACGCCGACGGAACGCAAACGTCGCCTCTTGCGCCCCATGCTTCGATCGAAAACCAACTCGCGATCCCGTCAGCCTGGATTTAGCTCCTGCCTCCACCAAACGTCGGCGCAACAAAGACGCGAATACTTTGCGCCCAATCGCGAAAAGACTGATTGGTCCGATAGTTCGCGCAATCGTATATTTGCCCTTTCTTGCGCATTGCTGTTACCCTTGCTTTGTGCCATCCTTGCGAAGCCCTTCGCCCTTGCCAACAATGATTTCACGAAAGTCGTGATGCGTTGAAATGTCTTGGAGTCGTCTGCAAGCGCCTTCCTACATTATGGTGGGATCACGTCTGGCCCGGGTGCTTTGCCACCGCGCAGCTTGCGCAAACATGCCCTGACCTCGTCATCCGTGATAATGGCCAAATTGACCGGCAACGCAGGTCCAAAAGCGGGTGCGTCGACAACGTCGGCTGGACGCACGCCCCATTGCACCGTCTCGAGGTTTGTTGCCATGGTATCTGCTCGATCTTCGCTGCTGACAAATTCTCCTTGCAAATTCCGGAGCCGCCCCTTCTTGGCGGGACGGGGTTTCGGAACTCCCGGATACCGTTCCAGAAACCAGTCGCCACCAAATCTCCCAGCCAATTGGATCTATCTTCTCGTGCAGATTGTCGTACAGCTTTGTACTTCTCTTTCTCCAGAACGGCGTTCCCGTCCACTCGAGCCTGCGCTCTTCCTTGGATGAGCTGCGCTGTCCGGCCACTGATCCACGGTCGTCTGGGCTGGGGCGGCTCGTCAGGCAAGACCCCGGATGCAGCCCCGATCGCGGCCGAGATGTTTTGCCAGGCGCCTTCGACCACGTCAGCGGCGCCCACGTCCTCCGAGCAGTTCTCCAAAAACGCCGTAACAAATTGCTGTCGTACACCAGGTGTTTGCAAACTCCCTCCCTGTTTTCGATTGTGGTGTCGACGTGGTTGAAAATGCTGAATGTCGAGGTCGATATGACAACATACTAGGAAGTGCCGCGTGGCCAATGCTACTTCTCGGTGGCTTTCAACGGACACCACTCGGTCAAAACTTACGCCCGGCACGAGAAACAAGTCGAGCAGGGCAAATCTGTCCAGCAGGATGGCGTCGTTGGGTTTTGTGCCGCTCTCCACGTACGTAATCCGTTGTCCGTCGGGGACATGTTGAAAACTGTTGCTGATGCTGTAATGCTGACCAGTGCAAAACTCCATCAATAAGTCCCGGTTGGGTGACTCTACATTGCGTTTCGCTTGTTCTCCAAAAATGCACGGCACAAGTGCATGTTCTTCGCCTCGCCGTTGTTGGACAAGCCGGGCGTTGAAGTCTCCAGCGCTATATTTGGATCCATGCTCCAAGATAGTACTGAGCAGGTTTTCCAATTCCAAGTAAAAGTGCAATCGTTCAGGTAGTGGTCGGAGGTTGTGCGGGGCGTAGCCGGTGATCCGCGCATGCTTACCCCGTTTCCCAGAATCTTCAAGCCAACGAGCCGGTCTGAATATTGCAGGAAGCCGCAGATGCACGTTGCCATGTGGGGCGCAATGATAAATCTCACTCCTGATCTAGGTTTGCCTACGCTGTCTGCATTTGCCGAACTTGATAAATTAATACGGCGCCCGTCGTTTGTGTACTACTCTGCTTTCGAAGCCCATGTCTCCTGGAGGCAGAGAACTTCAATCTTCAAAACACGCATTGATTCGCAAAGAATGTAAAGCTTCTCGTCGGTTAAACCGGTGACGTTCCACGTGGCGATTGTGACGCGCCCGTTTTGTGCACTCAAGGCCCCACGTGGGCGCATTGGGTGAAACAGTGTCCTCGCCCTCCAGGCCCCGTCAAATATTCCCTTTCTTCCCTTTCCCTTTTTCCCATGTCAGTGCCACGGGCCAGGGTTTCCTCGCAGGACGTGCGGAGCTCGATGAAAGCCGCATCGTTTTGGAAGTTAGCCCAATTCTCCCATTCTGCGCTGGGCCATGTGAGCTTGAGCGCACCTCCCACGGAGCAGACTGATAGGATGTGCTCGCCCCCGGCGTGCATGGTCAGCTTCCGGTCGTCTATCTGAACGCTGTGTTTCTTCAAGCCCCACTGCACCAGAAGCCGCTTCAGGCGGAATAGCATCCGGATCGGGTTCCTGATACAGGCTGGCCTATCTTTGTGTGCCCAAATTCTTTGTTCTTGTAAGAAATCGGTGAAGCTCGTAACATACGCAGCGCTGTCTCTGCATCTGTGTCGTCACTCATATTTGCAAACACAATGCCGTTGTAGATGTCACCTTTCATGTAGATGTCACTCGGCGCTGGCATGTTTGACTTTGCCATCTCTTGTTTGAGAAATGCGCTCCTGTCACCGTGACGTCGTGTCTTCCCGACTTTGACCGAAGCCCAAGCCCTCTCCCGTGAAGCTGTCTAGGTGGAAAAACTGGTAGCCCCCGATGCATTTGTCTGGAAACCCCGAACCAATAAACACGGAAATGCCAGCACCCTTCGTCAAACTCGGCGATGGAAACCATCCAGATTGAATCAACATGCTCTTGCCGAGCTTCCTCTTGGTCACCTCTCCATCGGGGCCCGATCTCTGCTGCGTGCCGACGGGACTTGAAATGTTAAACGAGCAAAACGTAGAACTTCGGATCTCCCAACCGACCCGTCGAACATGCACCGAATGGGTTACGCGCTGGGACACGCAACTCTCCGTGATAGTTAGCGGCCGCCGCCATCCCAGCTAGATGAGAGCTGTGAACGGTTTTCAAGAAAGAGGTGTACAACAAAATGCAGCGTCATTTTGCTGCCCTGCCTCGGCCCCCGACCCTGCACGGCAGCTGGGAGGTGAGGGGGGGAGAGGAGGATAGGGATGAAAGGGATGAGAAGGCTGGCAGGGCGTGCAGGGAGCGGGACAAGGATCAGCAAACGCAAGAGGAGGAAAGGGATGGTGTACGGGAGAATTGAGCAGGGACCGACCGTCCTGGCATTCCTGTAGCCCTACAACGATATGTTCTTTGACCCCAAATTTGTTAAACAACACAGATGTGTTAAACAACACAGTCTCAATCAGAAGCGTCCTAAAAACCTTTCGCGCAGGCCACCGAAGGTTCTCAGACCATTCTCTGGTGGGCCTATAGGCGAGCCAGGCTTCGCCACTGCTCGAGAGACAGGGGGCCAGGAGTAATCAGAGGTGGAGGACGACGACGACGACGACGGCGACTGCTTCTCTGCAGCCGCTGGCCTGGAGCCGGCCATGGGATCCACCGGCCCCCGAAGGGCCAGTGACGCCGCGGCCGCGGCCAGCGGACAGCCCTCCGAGCAGCGAGAGAAAGGCGCAGAGGCTGGGGTCGCGCCGTGGGCGGGCTGCCCACGGCTTCTGGGACGCGCCGAGGCCAGGCCGGCGCTGACCACCGGAGGAGGGGCAGCCTCGCACGAGAGTCATACGCTCGACCAGGCTAGTAAGGATGCGCGGTAAGGATGCCAATGGCCCTGGAACGCCATGTTGACGTTTCCCGTGCGGAGCGCAGCGGAATGCCGAAGGATGCCGGATACCGGAGGGGCAAGGATGCAAGGGTAGCCTTGGAAAGTTACCCCATCCTCACTATCATGGTTGACTGTATCCTGATACGATTGGCTCAAGATCACGGTATCTGAGAACGTGTCATCATCATGACTCCTCTCCCCTCTATTGAGCAGGGACCGACCGTCCCGGCATTCCTATAGTCCTACCACGAAATGTTCTTAGAACCCAAAAATGTTCTAAGAACAAAAACGATGTTCTTATAACCTAAACCCGATGCGATGAAACAAGACGGACTCCGCCAGAAAGGTTCTAGGAACATTTCGTGGAAACCACACAAGGTTCTTAGAACATTGTTTGATAGGGCTATAGGCAAGCCAGGACGCTTCGCCACTGCTTGACTCTGGCAGTCGAGACAACGGCGGTCTCCCGGGCGTCCTCCGTCCTTCTCTCTGGGCCTCCCGGGAACCTCTTCGCACGGGCCGCCTCGATACGAGGGCCAGGAGGGGCCCCCCGGGAGGGATCTCGGGGAAAAACGGTCAGTGGATTTGGACCAGTAGGGGGCCACATGCGAACCCTACCCCTACCCCCCACGATTTCTGAGGGGGAGGGTGGGGGTAGGGATCGCATGTGGCCCCCTAACCAGGCGGGAGAGCCGTCGCTGTCAGAAACAAGGCCCCCCTCCTCCGAAACCAAAGACAGCCAGGGCCGCGTCGCAACCGAAGCCGCGAGATGCCCTCTGCCTGGCGATGGGAATCCACGACGTACCCCTAGTAGCGGTAGGTGTCCGGCTTGAAGGGGCCAGTGACCTTCACGCCGATGTAATCTGCCTGCTCCTTCGTGAGGGTCGTGAGCTGGGCACCGAGAGCCGGCAAGTGCAGGCTCGCAACTTTCTCGTCGAGGTCCTTCGGGAGGAGGTACACGTCGTTCTTGTAGCCCTTCTCTTTCGCCGTGAGCAAGTCAATCTGCGCAAGGACCTGGTTCGTGAACGAGCAGGACATCACGAAGGACGGGTGTCCAGTGGCACAGCCGAGGTTGAGCAGCCGCCCAGCCGCCAGAACGATGATGCCGTGCCCGTCTGGGAAGACGTAGCGGTCAACCTGCGGCTTGATGTTCTCCACCTTGATGCCTGCAAACTTCTCCAGATTTTCCATCTCGATCTCGTTATCGAAGTGGCCAATGTTGCCGACAATGGCGTTGTTCTTCATCTTCTTCATATGCTCCAGAGTAATGATCTTGAAGTTCCCTGTGGTGGTCGTGAAGATGTCGATCTCGCTGACAACGCTCTCCATCGTAACCACCTGGAAGCCCTCCATGCATGCCTGGAGCGCGCAGATCGGGTCACATTCGGTGATCAGCACCCTGGCACCAGCACCGCGCATTGCGAACGCGCAACCCTTGCCCACATCGCCATAACCACAGATCAGCGCGCGCTTGCCTCCGATCATCACGTCTGTAGCACGCATGATGCCATCTGGCAGCGAATGCCTGCACCCGTAGACATTGTCGAACTTGGACTTGGTCACGCAATCGTTCACGTTGATGGCTGGGAACAAGAGCTCGCCCTTGGCAGCCATCTCCTTGAGCCGGTGGACGCCAGTAGTGGTCTCCTCGCTGACACCCTTGCATTTTGCGGCCATGCGCGAGTATTTCGTCTTGTCGGCTGGAATGGAATCCCGAAGCAACTGCAGAATGCACTTGAACTCCGCATTGTCCGTGCTGGCTGGGTCGGGCAGGGAACCGTCCTTCGCGAATTTCTCCTCGAACTCCTTCCCCTTGTGGATCAGCAGCGTCGCGTCACCGCCGTCGTCCACGAGCTGGTCGCAGCCGTCCGCGCCTGGCACTGTCATCATCTGCTCGGTGCACCACCAGTACTCCTGCAGTGTCTCGCCCTTCCATGCGAACACCGTGGATGTCTCGGCCTTCGCGATAGCCGCCGCCGCGTGGTCCTGGGTGCTGAAGATGTTGCAGGAGCACCACCGCACTTTGGCCCCAAGTGCGTGCAGGGTCTCTATAAGGACGCCGGTCTGGATAGTCATGTGCAGAGACCCGTTGATGTTCATCCCCTTGAACGGCTGCTTCGGCCCGAACTCCTTGCGCGCAGCCATGAGTCCTGGCATCTCGTGCTCCGCCAGGCTGAGCTCCTTACGGCCGAACTCGGCGAGGCCCATGTCCTTGACCTTCGACTCTGCCATGACCTCACAGCTCAGCGTGACGCGCGGCAAGAGATTGGGAGATGCTCGTTCGACGCTTGTCCGATCAAAATTCCTGCAGCCAACATTGTTGATAATGATTCAGGAGATGCCGGTGTTGATGGTGAAAAATGACAGTGAGACTCATGCTCAACAAGCGTTCCAGTCAGAAGCGAGAACAATGACAGACTTTCTTACAGCGCACCAGCGCGCCTTCCACGGTGATTTCGTGATCCAGTAAGTCCCTAAACTCAATCACAGCTGTAACCAAGTCCTTCACGTCGCTTTATAGCAGACGGGCGATCGCGGCGAACACGAGACTACCAAATTCCAAAATCTACTACTCAGGCTGGTACCCTCCACGCGACCTGAACATGCTTACTTCGGCCAAATCCGACCCTATACAACAAAAGCCCCCCACCGACAACACCGATGTACCACGTTGTGACCTCGGATTCCGAATCCCCAACGACCTCCCCGCGCGGTCCGTCACCGCACGGTTTTGGGACCTCGGAGGCCCCAGTCACCCGAGAGTCCTCGCAGAACGACCCGAGTCCCAAAACCGTGCGGTGACCCCCAAGCAGTGTGGTGCAACTCCATTCCGGGTCCCCCGAGATGAGGACGGGGGCCCGAAAGGGGTGCCGGGAGGGTGAGCAGAGAAGGTCGGCTTAGGCCGTCCTTGAGCCATTGTCACCAGGATCGGTCAGCATCGGAAGGGGCCCCAGGACACACAAATGAATACACACAAACAAGATGATTCCCCATATTCTCCCACATGTTCCGGGACTTTGTCCTCCCGCCCAAGTCCCATAGTTTCCCATCTCTTCCAGGGACTCGACGATGAATTGTGTCTGTGTGTTTTTTTCCCTCCTGAGATCAGGACGGGTGCCCGAAAGGGGTGCTGGGAGGGTGAGCAGAGAAGGTCGGCTTAGGCCGTCCTTTCGGGAGCGGCCAAGAGGGGGGTGTCCACGAGGGGGGGGTGCAAATCATGACGGGCGGCATGTGCGCGGCCCAGCGGGGGGGCCAGGGACGTAATGAAATAAGAAGAGGCGCCATGAGATCTGGGGAAAAATCATGGCCCGGGCCATGAAATCCACCCCCCCCTAGTCATCACCTCCCTCTTTTCCGCTCCCGATCCTTGAGCCATTGTCACCAGGATCAGTCAGCATCGAAGCGAGCAGCCAGATCGCGTAGCATGGCGCGTCGGATCGGGCTGCCATCGGCACGGAGACGACGTCGGGACACCGGATCGGCCGCGCCAGGGATGCACAGCAGCGCCCTGCAGACATCGGGGGGCTGAGTATGGGGGCACAACGGGTCCTGAGAGAAACGGGTCCTGGGCTTAAGTCCCCCTACAGGGGGATTTTCAACGAAAAATTAAAAATACCCCCAAAAATACGCCCAAAAAGGGCCAAACAATACCTCAAAAACAGTCCCCTGGCTATTTTTGGACTAGTTTTTGAGTATTTGTCTGGGGTATTCTTTATTTTTTCGTCGGAGATCCCCCTGTAGGGGGACAGGCCCGACTTAGTCCAGGCCCTGGGGCTTCCCCCAGTCCCCCAGGCTGGCCATCGCTCGGACGTCCATCCCCTGTGCTTTTTTCGGTTTCGTGCGTGGCTTTTCTCGCCAAATGATCAAGGATGCTCCTCGATGGTCCTCGCCGGAGGAAAAAAAATGCACATGTCCGAGCGATGCCAGGCCAGGACCACTTCTTCCTCCCGAGTCGTCTTCTGCCGGTCCCCGGGGCCGGCGGAGGGCCTCGAGAGCCCGAAGTCGGCGAGAAAAGCCTCAGTTTGGCCCCGTGGCGACAGTGGCTGCCAAGATCCTGGGCTGGTGCTGTCCACACGAAGGGGCCCTGGGACACACAAATAGATAGGCACAAATAACAGGGTTCCCTATATATTCTCCCACATGTTCAAGGTTTCCGTCTTCCCCCCCACTTCCCATGTTTTCCCATATTTCCCTGGGCGTCGACGATTAATTTTGTCTGTGCTTTTTCTCCTCCTGACAACACGCGCCAGCGCGTGCCAAGGAGGGGGGAGAGGGACTGGAGGAGATGGGCAGGGGAGGATGACGACACCGAGGCGGCGGAACGGGGAGAAGGATGCGCAGGGGGAGGAAGAGGAGCCACGAGGAGGTCCCAGGTACTTCGTGGCGAGCGTATTCTCCGGGCCTTGGGCTTCCCCCACGGCGAGAAGCTTCAGAATCGGAGCAGATCGGGCCGGCCAGGCGAGAAACCGGATCGAAGCGGGCCCTGGCGGGGGGGGGGTCCCTGAGCCAGGGTCACTGGGCACCTGGCCACTGCTCTCGACGACGGGTCGCCTGCGGCGCCGCCCCTGCACGGACCGTCGACCACCATGGGGACCACCACGACCCACCTCCACCCCCGCAAGGAAGGACCCACACTCCCGACCTAGTGATCCGGGTCCTGGCGGTGGCGGCGCTTGGCCCCCAAGAACCCAAAAGAAGCACCCCCACCCCCAACCAGGACCGCCTGGTGATCGAGACGAAAATCTGGGCGGCCGACAGGTCACCATCATCCCTCCTCATCTTCTCTGAGCGGGAATTGTTAGGGGGAACCAGCTCAGGAGGGGGGAGCATCGACCTGAAATCGGTGATGCATCGCCGATTGATCGACCATAGACCCCCCGATGGCGAAACCACACGGTCCTGGTCAGGGTGGGCTATCGGGCCCCTATCGCTAATCGATAAATTACCCCCTCTGCCTGTCCCCCCCTAACGTTGCCCCGGATTCTCTTCCCACACAACGTGCCGCCTTGAGTCCAGCGGCGCCACCAATGTCGCTACCGTTCAGCTTCAGTCGCGCGTTGTACGCGTGGTTGGTGTGCTTGAACTTTGCGACCACCACGCCCTGCAACCGGGTCACAGCTCGAACGCACTACCCCTGCTAACAATTTCCTGATCAGGTGAGGTGACGGCACCGCCGAGAATGCTAGAGTCCTTCATCGTCTCGCCCCTCCACCTCCTGCTCATCATTCGGATCCTCTTCCTGCTCATCCTCATCCTGGACTACCCCCTCCTCCGCCTGCTTATGCACCTCCTCACCGTCCGCCTCAACTCGACTCTGCAGGCATTACGCTGCAATCTGCCTGTCCTGGCCGGATGACAAAAACAGTGAGGGAGAGAGCGAGAGAAAGAGAGAGAGAGAGGACAGAAAAAGCGAGGGGAGAATGAGAGAAACATAAGCAGCAGCATCAGCATCATCAGAATCATCATCGGCAGAACAATCATCAATGCCATCATCACTATCATCGCCATCACCACTATCATCAGCATCGGGACCCTCAACATCGTCATCGTCGTCATCATCACTATCACAATCCTCATCCTCATCCTCATTCCCATCCTCAGCATCATGAACAGCAGCATTATCAACATCGCGGTCTCCGTCCTGGTATTCCTCGATCTCGCCTTTACTATCATCATCAGCATCAGCGTCAGCATCAGCAACATCATCACCATCATCAAATCTCCAACCAATTTATCAGCATCAACATCAGCATCAACATCATCTTCGTCACTAGAATCGTCTTCATCACCAGCACCATCATCAGCATAGTCAGCATGATTATGATCATCACTATAATAAACAACATTGTCATCACCACTATTGGCATGCTCATCATATGAATCAGTATCATCACCATCATCAACATGATCAATATTATCATCATCCGCATGCTCCACATAATCATCATCATCAACATCCTCATCATGATCTGCCACCTCCTCATCATCATCATCATCACCACCCGCTTCATCCGCATCATACGATCCTCATCACCATCATTATTGTTTCATCATTATCACCAGCAGCATCAGCATCAACATCATCATCAGCACCATCACCACCACCATGATCACCACCACCATCACCATCACCATCACCACCACCATCATCAGCATCATCATTCTCCTCAGCGTCAGCATCACCATCTTCTTCGCCATCAGCATCCGCCTCCTTCTCCTCCTCTTCCCCCTTCGACGTTCATCCCTTCTCCTCTCCACCCTCCCCCGCCTCCCGCATACGTACTGCCCCAGACGAGCTCCTCATCGTCCTGACCCTTCTCCCGCGGCAGTCAATCTAGACTGCCCGCATTCGCTCCTGGCGACGCGCAAGGCGCCAGGCGCTCACCCCCTCGCCACCGCAGTGCCCTCCACCGTCCCCTCGCCGGGCCCGGAGGAGACACGCACTCCCCTGCCCAGGCCCCGGCGTGCGAAACGCACGCGCCCCTGCGCGCCCCTGCGGCCTCAGCTTGCGCTGCGCGGACATCTATCGGGTGAGCACTTATTGCTTGTCAGTGTCAACACATGCTGGCCGACAGGTGCTGTGGCTGCCAGAGCCACAGCCTCAGTGAGCGCAGCAGGCGAGGGAGGGCAACAGGTTCCTGCTGCTCCTCCTGCTCCTCCTCGTGCTCCCCTCGATGTCGCCCCTCCCTGATCTCACACAGGACGAGGGGCATAGAGAGAAAGAAAGGACGAGTGACAGGAAGCAGCAGCATGATCATCATCAACATCATCATCGTCATCAGCATCACCATTATCATCGTCATCACGTTGTAATCCTCATCATGGTCATCCTCATCATCAGCAACATCATCAGCATGAACAGCAGCCGCATCATCAGTAGCAGCATGATCACGACCACCACCATCGCCATCCTTATCATCACCATCAGTATCACCATCATTGGCAGCATCATAGTCAGCCTGACCATCACCAGAATCATCGGCATCATCGTCATCGTCATCGTCCGCGTCATCGTCATCATCAGTATCAGCATCAACAGCATCAGCATCATGATCATCCTCATCAGCATCATTATATGTCCTCATAAGCATCAGCATCATCATCATTATCATCACAAACATCCTCTTAATGACCATCATCATCAGCATCATAATCAGCATCAGCATCATCATCACAGCATCACCATCGTCTTCATGATAAGCATCATCAACTTCATCGTCATCAGCATCATCATCGTGATCCACACCATCATCACCACCACCAGGATCATCATCACTACCTCAATCATCATGATAAGCATCATCCTGCTCCTCCTACCCCTACCCATCCCGTATGCTCTCCGCTGGTACTGCTCCTAACCACAAGGCATGCGGAGGATGGGCAGGTCCGCGCTTCGCGGGCGCTCGCGCGCCGCACCTGCCGCATCTCGCACAGGAGCAGCTCGCCGAAACGCTTCAGCCTAGCCGTTCTCTCTCTCTCTCTCTTTCTCTCTCAATCTCACATTCTCTGTCTCTGCACGGCACGGTGGATGCACCTCCCATCTTTTCAGTCGGGGATGACTGGAGTGGACACGAGAGAAGACACAAGACCCTTCTGAATGCCACATTACCATACGAATGTAGAAGGCATGGGTCGCGAAACACAGGACACAAGGATACGCTTGATTTGACAGGGTCGACCTGCTAAGCAATCTCGACTCTAGGTGGCGACATCCGAACCCAACCACCACCAACCATCGATTCCCGAATCGATGCGAGGCGGAGTAGAGTTCGGACTTCGCTACGTGTTCGACAAATTCGGAACCCTACCCCCGCCGCCTATCGAATTGCCTGAGTCGTTGATTGGCGAGGGTGGGGTCCGCATTTCGCGGCTGGCCTCTTACTGCAGTCGCCGCACTCCAAGGGGCGCAGGGCAAGGACGCACGATCCTTGCTGGAGCCCTCCCAAGTGGGACCCGAATGAGTTAGCTAGGTCGAAGCATCGCGCCGCATCGCAGATGCATCGGCGACGTAGGCAATGCGTCGCCGCTGTCGGCATGGAGAAAATCTGGCTTGAGGATGGACCAATACTCGCAGATTGTTCGTCGCCGTCCCCCTTCAACTGTATCCCCGTCTTCAATGCAGCCAGGTAGCCACCAACCTCCAGCGGAAGGTACAAGAAAAAGGAGGAGAAAAGGAGAAGCGGTTTGGGGCGGAGGAGATTTCTGCCCGGAAGCTGTCAGACATGGCCGCGCGAGGCCCACTCCATCTGAACATGGATCGACGCATTGGCTGC